AAAAAATGCCTAGAAATAAGAAGCTTCAGGTTTTTAAAATAAAAAAAATTATTTCAATATGTATAAAATCTATTAATTTATATCATAATAATTAATATAAAAAAGTAAAGCATATTGTAAAAAAAAATTTTCTTGTAGTATAATATTTTCATTTAAGCTTATCATATAGCTGGTAAATAAAAAATTAATGCTAAAGCTTCTATCATAGAGCTGACTTATGCTAAACTTGTTATATTATAAACCATCTACTAGTAAAATATTTTCAATAAGAAATTTTTTTGAGTTTAATTCCAAGTATACCTGAGCCCATCACTCTCCTAGTGGTATTATCTCCAAGTTTCACCTTGCCTCCTGCCTTGACCTCCAGCGAAATGAATTGATTTGCATCTCTAGTCATGTGCCTTCAACATCTAATGTCCAGGTATCACATGCACTCACGAGGACTTCTGTAAGAGCATCCCTACAAAATCATCAATGGTCATATTTGAGAAACTAAAAAAGTTTGGGTTCCATCTGATGGAATGTGGGATGAAAATGCTTGCATGTTATACTATAAATTATGCAATTTTGATCTCCACACAAAATGTGTTCTATGGGGGATAGTGTAAATATGGGAGATGTGTCCTAACATGTCACAAGATAAATATCTAACTCCAGAAAAAGGGTTTACTAATTTATGTGAGTTATGGTGCATCTTCCTAGGTTTGAATACATATGATGGTGTGTTATGAAACTGTATAAGTGTTGGATGCATTTTGTTTCCTTTTTAAGCTTTTAATTAAACTTATAAAGATTTGTTTTTAGTTTCAAGAATTAATTTTTCAATTTTCAATTTATGCTCACTTCAATCTAGTTTACATGCTAGAGTTTCTAATTCCTTAAAGCTTATTTTAAATCAACATGTGATATTTTCAAGGAATAATGTTCAACAGTTAAATCAAGATGCATCTTATTTACAAAGTTAAATTCGTCTAATAAAGTCATATGATTATTATCTAAAGTGAAATAATCTTTCTTGAGGCAATCATGTTCTTTCTATAGATTTGAAAAGTCAGATTTAAGGCTTATATGTACTTTTTTTGAGCTTTTTATATACATCATGAATTTTTTTAGAAACTTTAAATAATTTATTATAGAAAAGCTCATATACCTCCTCTTGATTAGAATGATCAAGATGATTATCTATCATTAAGCACATGTTTGTTACCTCCTCTTATGCTTCAATTTTAGATAAGTATGAAGCAGAGTCTGCCTAGAACGTCTTCTGAATCCTTTTCTTGCACTTTTTGAATTTAGTTTTTTCCTCACCATTCTCATTACTCAAGTGATCTTTAAGACTTGGGAAATCATACTTTAAGTGCCCTGATTTCCTACATTCATAATAGATAATATCATAAGAACCTTTAAAAATTTTCTAAAATTTTACCTTTGTTCCACTATTAATGAAGCTTTTTCTTTTTTTTTTTTAGAAAGCTTATGAACTATCAGGTCATCAGAGTGATATATTTTTCTCCTTCATCAGAAGAACTATGTGAATCATTATCCTTTAAGACTACAATTTTCTCTTTCTCTTTTCTGCTGCATCAACTTGTCTTTGGCTCACTCCTTGCTTGTTGGTAATGAGTGATCAAAGTAAGTTATCAATGGAGTAAACATTTAGATCTATAGATTCAGTAATAATAATAATTTTTACATCGTAGGAAGAAGATAAAAATGCAGAATCTTTTTAACTTTTTCATAGTTAGTAAGTTCTCTTCATTCCTAAGGCATATAGGGAAGTAACATTCTGAATAAATTTAGTATACATTTCAAAAATAATTTCATTAGGTTTCATGCAAAATAATTCATAATCATGAAGTAAAATATTCAACCTAGATTGTTTTACTTTCTTTGTCCCTTCATATGTTATATATATTTTATCTCAAATCTTCGTACCAATAGTGCATATAGAAACACATGTAATCTTCATATTTTAAAGTATAGAAAAAATAGTTCAAATATTTTGCATTCAGTTGGGTTAAATCTCTATCATAAGTACTCCATTAAAAAAAGTATTTCAATTTTAACACCGTTTACTAAACATGAGAGTGCAGAATATCCCTCATGAACTAATACCCACAAGTGATAATCGATAGATTACAAGAAAGTAGACATGCAAATTTTTTAAAAATCAAATGAAATATTATCAAATAAAGGTGGTTATATGATTGAAATTCTTCTATAATATTATGATTTCTAAAGTTAGCCTTTGATCATTTTTAAAAGTTTTCTGAAACTTAATTTTTGAATATCGCTCTAATACCACTTGAAAGTTCATGAAGGTGATTAAACCTTTAAGAACTAACTTGATGCTAACCAAGTGAGGGGGTGAGTTGAATATTTAAAAATTTCTTCTGAGAAAAAGAAATCCTTTAAAAAAACTTTTCACGCCCCCACACGAGAATCCACACAAATTACTTTTTCTTCTTTTTCCTTCAATTTTCTCTCTCCTGGGCTTTTCTCTCTCTTCAAAAGATCTCAATCCCATATATATCCAACCAGATCATCCTGGATGATCCAAAATCATCACGGGACGATTTGGCCACTCGACGAATTTCGTTCAGAAGAAATAGTTATCGTTCCAAAACAAGTTGCTCTCTGGAAAAATTTCGTACAGACAAATCTCATTTCGTCCTGGGATGAACTTCTCTGTCCCCAAAACCTGTACAAACCTGTATCGATCGTCCCCGGAAGATCCAACTTCGTCCTGGACGATCCTGGAAGGAAAAACAGCTTTCATAGATGAAGCTTTTGCTTTTTCTTTAGAAAGCTTCTGAACTATCAGGTCATTAGAGTGATATATTTTTCTCCTTCATCAGAACCACATCTCTATTTTCATCCTCCAGGAGATGGTCAAAGAACCATAATCTTTGTTAAAGAACTTCTTCTTTGAAGCCACAAAGAATCCAAGCAGAAGCTTGTAGATACTTGGTAAGATTCTTTCTTGGAGCAACCTTGTGAATCCCCTCACAATTTCTCCCTCACAAAATCCCCCTCTCTTCTCTCACAAAGCTCTCCTTTTACTCTTCCTAAAGGCTCTCTCTCTTGAAGTATAAATAGCCAAAGATTTTCTAATAGAAGTATTAGAAAACCTTAAGTAGTGGGCTTAAAAAAATCATAATTATCAATAGTTATGTCTTTTGTTCGTACAATATGATACATGTATCGTACTATATAATCAGTATAATTTAAACACGTCCAACAAGTTCATCCAGACGAACTGTTCCACCTTAATAACACTTCATACAGTACTATCAAAAGATCTTCTGGTACGAACTATAAAAATTTCTTCTGTTCATTTGGGACAACTCTTGGGATGGCCAACTTCGTACACTGTCGATCGTCCAACACTGTAGACATTATACATTACAATCAGTAAAAAAAACCATAGATTTTGTTTGGTACGATCAATTTCATACTTTATCAATCATATTATATGAACTATATCGTACGTATGATCTGCAATAATAATTGTTCATGATTTGATTGCCTGATATCAAGGGGTTACTTAAGAAGATTTTAATTATGACGTACAATATGAACCAAATTGTACTATACGATCAGCACATAATTAGTATCTTTCTTAACCTCTAGCGGCTAGGGTTTTGACAAAGCACATAAAACATACAAGACGAAGCTAAAATTATACAATACGATTTACTTAAAAAAATCTCTCAAAAATATTTTTCTCTCATCCTGTGTATGTGCAAGGTTACTCAGTAATGATATCCACTGAATTACATGATACGACTCAATAAAGAAAAAATACATAACAAATTAAAAAATACAGGGTGTAACCCTAGTCTACCCAATCTTGAGCTGATCAGAATTGCAAGTAAATGGTGGACGGATTTT